AACTTGTTTTTTTTTTTTTTGATAAATTGCAGATAACAAGTAATTGTACGTTCTTTAACCATTTTGATACTAAAAATAATTAATTTAAGTTCAATTTACCATATTTTTAAATGGTTGATGAAAGATCTCTCTTTCTCTCTCCCTCTCTGACATTTAAATTAAATTGACAAACAATTAGTTAAAATTTAAATAATCAATTTGAAAATATATAATATGTAAAGTATGAGATTTTAGACACGTTTCTTTAATGATGCACTCTCTCTTTCTCTCTCCTCAGCAAAATTAAATTCAATTCTTTAAAATGTAATATTCGACAATTACTTTCATTTTCCTTCCGCCTCCGCTTAAATCGAAACGGCGTCAGTTGTATTAGTTACGAGATTGTTGTTGCACAACATTAGCATGGCGCATCCGCCTTATTGCTGAATTAAAAGAAGAAACGCCGCAAGTTTCCCTCGAAAATATGTTGCTCTTTAATTAAAACGTCGAGGCGGAGAGAGCGGAAGGAAGGAGGCGGCAGGAGGATGCAGAACGCGAAGGGGCAAGAGCGGCGAGGTTAACCAACGTGGTGGTGGTGGTGGTGGTGGTGGTGGTGGTGGTGGTGGTGGTGGTGGTGGTGGTGGTGGTGGTGGTGGTGGTGGTGGTGGTGGTGGTGGTGGTGGTGGTGGTGGTGGTGGTGGTGGTACTTATTCATTTACTATTTATAAATCAAAAGTTCTTGATAACAAAGATAAATATGGCTCGAAATGCAATTTCGCTGCCATTCCGTTATTCCGATCGCATTACATTACATCGAGAAATTTCTACTCGTACCAGCGAGTATAGAAGACAGTAATTTCAGAAGTGACTCTATCTCATCACATCGGGAGAGAGAAAGAGAGAGAGAAAGAGACAAGAAAAAAAAAATGGTGGTGGTGGTGGTGGAGGAGAAGCCAGAGCCGACCGGATGACGGGGTCCGGGGTCACGGATGGGCGGCGGCAGGACTGGTTTCGGACCAGTCAAGAGAAGAAGAGGAGCTCGCTGCTCTATCTACCCGGGCTTTACGCGCCGCGCTATACCGGGTGGGAAAGTCGAAACAGCCGACCGACCGTCTGTGAGAAGATCGAATCTCGAAGATCATCGTTTTCGCGATGGACATCGGTGATTGTTGCGAGACGCGTATTCAAGATAAAAGTGTCATCGAGCTGGTCGATCCTTTTTTTTTTTTTTTTCTTCTTTCGATATGCCATCAGCGTCCGTCACGCTACCCGCGTTATGAAACGCGTGAAACTTATAAAATATTCATTATATTACGATTAACAAGTGAGTTTATCATTAAGAAAGAATTTTCGAATATTTTGATTAGATAATAGCCTGTTATATTGCTTAATTATTAATGGGCGACGAAAATGAACCACGAATTACTTTTTATAATTACTAGTAGTTATAAAATAATACAAAAAATATTTCTTAACAAAGTATGTAAGAAAAGCAACATGGAATAGAGGCCCATGATTGACAGATGGTCACATAATTCCGCTGCATCACTGAAATATCTTGCGTTAATCTAGTTCGGATTCTTCGAGTCAAAATACTGAAGATTAATGCGTTGAACGTGCAACATATCTAAAACTGCAATTACGATTAACGTGATTCGCGCGGAAACGGGCGGGCCTTTATCGGACACGTCGAAAACGCGTGCCGCTCGCTTTCCGGTTCACGGCATCATTCTCCGTCTGGAGAAATGTACCGTTGAAGCACGCAGAAGCTCGAGAAGGCCAAGCCCGGAGAAGAACGGGGGTCCGGGTCGAACTCGTAAGGACGTTGACCGATGGATACGGCCAGGAGAATCGGTCCTGGGCCAGGATCGACGAGCGCAGCTTCTCTCGCTCTCCGCGATAGCAATATATTTCGCAAAAAGAGGATAACCAACCGCGAAACGAAAATCGTTAGAAACGCTCGTTGCAAATAGAATGTTTAACGTCGGGTAGGTACGAAATTATGAACACGAGAATGGCAAATGCAAGATCGTCGGCAATCTTGGTCCTTGCTATCTTGGAAACGCTAGGAATATACATATTCGATAAACTTAAAAAATATTTATACACTGCACGATGCGTAGTAAATTTTAATTTTATCAAAGAAATTTGTGTTGCATTTTATAGAAACTAGATTTAATTCAATTAAATTAAATTATCAGTGACTTCATTAAAAGTGTTATTAAATACTATATAAAATAATGTTAAATTTTCTTAAATTATAGTATAAAGATCTTAATAACGAGAAAACGAGGAAAAATTACTATTCGCAGCGGTATGCCTCGGTCGGCCAGCGCATAATGATTCGGTGCACTTGTGTTGCACTATGGCATTGCATTCGCGCTGCGCCAGAAACCTCCTTCCAGCGAGAGCGGAAGCGAAGGGTGAACGCGACCGAGCTCTCCTCCGCGTCATGATTCGGGAGATGCATCCTCCCGCTAGAGAAGGACGAGAGGGGGATGGGATGGAACGAGAGCTGTCATGACAAATTATCCTCGAAAACAAGCGGCTGGAAGGGAAACAAAAGTACGTCTTCCGTAACCGTTCGGTCGTGATAACGAAAGCCGAAAGATGTATTCAGTTGCAGAAGAATATGAGATGGTTAATTCTAACTCGACCACCGCAATAGGTAGCATTTTTTTTTTTATATATATTTTTAATCCTAAGTTAAATTTTTATTTTTATAGATTGACATTTTTGATCTTATTTTAATCTGTTCGATTAATTAGGAATTATATTATTATTAAATGTACTAATAATATCTGCGCGTGTATCGCAATTATTATTCCTTCAATTTTACGCGATACATTAATCGCGCAAATTTTCCAATGTAATCTCCGAAATTAGGAAAATGATTCGATCGGCAGCGAATATTTACGCACACGCGGTAGATCGTTAAGTGTGCTCTAATATCATTTAGAAACGGTGTGTCGCATGATATGCAAAGAGAGAAGCGCATAACGAATTTAGCGCGCTACGCCAGATCTCTCTGTTTCTCTTCTCTTCTCTTTTCCTTCGTCCCCTTCTCTCTTTCTTTCCTTTTCTCTCTCGCTTTGTCGGTGATTTCATTTTGTCGAGTGCCGCGATATAAGCAAAATCGATCGTGCGAAAAGACGGTTCACTAGGTCACCATTCTTTTCACGTTCAATAAAAAGCCCGCGATTCACCGTCGTAAATAGTTGCTTGCCGGTTGCCGTATACATCTCGATATATTTCATGAAAATGTACGACGCGGATACACGATGCTCGAATGTTGATAAACACAAATCGTGGTTTATTTTATTTATTTTAACAAATCTTGATTTTTATGTTTCAGTTTACACTGAAAAAATATGTACAATTTCAAATACGCAAAATATATATATATATATCTCGAATTATATTATTTCAAATTAGTATGACAGAACGGAAAATTCAAGAAACAAAGCGATTCTCTGAGCTTTCTTGATCGAGGAATTTCGAGCGTCGAGGCAACGGCTTTTGCGTTTACGTATTATCACCGTGGAATTTCATTTCCAGACGTCACACGCATCGTCTTTCTTTACTCCTCTCGCGTGTCGCGTCGTGGCCCCTTTAATCCGCGCACCCTTTCATCTGTTCTTTCTTTCTCTCTCTCGCTCAATGAGAGATATTTATCCCGTAATTTCGGATAATCGATACGACAAAAGGGCAAACTCACAATAAAATTCCATATCCGCGAGACATAATCACGCGCGCTCTGCGCCTTTGATTATAATTACGCTCGACGGTGCAATTATATTAATTCGAGCGAAAATATCAAATTTTTCATATTTCCATATTTATGAAAGCATAAAGATAAATAAGTAACTAGTAAAAATTATCCTCTCGCATCACGTTTCTGTTTTTTTTTTTTTTTTTTATTTTAGTATTAATACACATCCTAATACCTTCATTTTTATATAATTTTTTACGTTAGATAAATAACGTACATATTAATTATACTGTTGAAAATAAATAAGTCACGAGAGAATAACACGTACGTTTCCCTTCTTTCCACGAAAGGAGGAAAATAGCGGTAGACTGATCAAGAAAAGAGAAATAAAAGGGATGAACGGACAAAAGGATGAACGGACATTTTTTAGGCCCCAGTAGAGGGGACGGCGCGACGGAGACAGAGGGAAACAGGTAATTCGGCAAACCAGACAATGTAAGGACGATATAGGAGGAGCGTCGAGATCCCCGGGATGATCCCGAGGGATGAATAGAAACGATCCTGTTTATCTCAGTTCTCCCACCCTCGCCGTCCGCTTCCCTCCCTCCCTCTCTCCATCCCTCTCCCCCCCCCCCCCCCCCCCCCCCCCCCCCCCCCCCCCCTCGCTCACCGTCCAAACCTCGCCTGGTGACGACACAAGCAATATGCTACTCGTGGATTTTTATAAGCGTCGACTTTCCTCCCTTCTTCGCCATTCTCATCTCGTTCCTTGCGCTCCATTCTTCTCCTCCTGTTTGCCTTTTTTCTCTTCCACTTCTTCCCCCCTCTCCCCCCCCCCATCCCTTCCCTCTATCCCACCTGGCAGACTATCTTGGAATCTCGACCTCAACGACTGCTGAGAGGTCGTCTAGAGACTGGACCAGCACCTTCGTCGCCCTGGGAGTTCTAACTTGAAACTTTCTCATCCTCTCTCCTGCCCCCCCCCCCCTTTCCGCTTTCTCTATGGGTTTTGCTTCCTACCGAGAATGTACCCATTGTATCTTAAGAGCTGACCTACTAGTTACCTGCTTGTATCGCATCTCTGCTTCGTTCCTTTACTTTGAACTTGACAGTAAAATATATATATATATCCCTTTATATTTGAAATTTTTAAATGTAATATAACACACACACACATACATTAAAATACAAAAAGCTCTAAATGTAAAAAATATAATATGCTTCTGTTCTTTGTGTCTTATTGGTTTAAAAAAAATTCTAGTCTATTTAGGCGCGCAATAAAAAAATATATAAAGTTTCTGACACTCACCTCGCAGGATCTGATAAAGGAAGACCTTGATGTGGTCCGGGCTGAGATGCTGTGGGCTCACGATGATCTTATGCAGGTCGCTCTGAAGCAGCTCGGTGATCACATATCTGTGTCGCGCGACTCGTTAAGGAATTTATCGATTATGATCGCTCGTGTATTATGCTAAGTCGTGTCACGCGCGTGCACGTCAACGACCGGCAATTAGCAAGTGATTCTCCTTCCCGGATCATTACGTCGCACCTGTAGAATGGATCGGCTAATCTCGCGTGCGATGACTTAATCCACTTAATAATCCGCCGGCTCCATTTTTGGCATGTCAAATATAATTGCGACACGCCTCGCCTCGATAATATCGCAAAAAGAGCCACGATTCTAAATGCCTTACTTTTTAAATTTAAATTTTATCTGGTTTATTTTTTTTTCTGAACACAACTTGTCAGGAGAATTTCAGAGATTAAAAATGTTTGCTTAATTTAGTACGTGGATATTAATTTTTATGTCGGAATAAAACATTAAGTTGTATCTGCGCAGAATATTAATTGGAGCATTAATTAACATATGATAAAGTAAATTTATTTGGGTTGTTATTTTATTTCGCGTTTAATAATTACTTTCTCGATGTTTATCATGAATATGATAAATAATATTTTATTATTCTTATCATTATTACATGTATATTAGATGTTCTTTATTACGATGTAATTTCATATATATCTTTGTAAATTCATTATCCGAATAATATTTTATTGTCCGTTTAATTGCCGTTTAAATAAAATAATAACTATTACTTATAGATCTTTAAAGCAGATGAATTTTTGTACATCGGGACATACGCAACAGCCACCGCGAATAATCCGTCACCGAGTCATACCAATCCATCAACGTCCGGCATAAAAATGCAATCGCGCTGTAACGCGGTGTAAAGTAACACGCGTGCGATCGTTCCGTCGTGAAATATCTGTGTCACGTGTGCGGTCGAGAGAGTTAATATTTTCGCGGCAGTTGATTTATAGTCGATATGAATGCATTTGGCGAATGACCCGAGCACGCATCCGATCGCCCGGAATAACGTAACAGATAATGAATATCGATGTACGTTCTCGATGGTATCTACTTGCTTGCTGCTGACAGTGATCGAATCGGCTTGTAATGAATACGATTGTCGATGATCATAATGCCAAGAGAGAGTCTGCGTAACACGCAGACGTTACCTATCGCTATCGGGAGATATGATTTTACGAAGGTGAACGCGACGTCGAAAGAGAAATTAATACCAAAATATATTAATAAGAAATGGCAAAGACATCAATAAAGAAAATCGTAATATTAAAAATCAAAGTTCGATGAAATTCTTCTTTCTTGATATCAATGCTGATTTTATCTTTCTGTCATCAGAAAAGTATTTTTCCTCAAAGTAAAAAAAAAAAATATATAATATCGTTAGAAAAAAAATGAAAAATTGTTTTTATTTATATATGCACTGTCACAGTCTTGCTTTTTTTTAAATTGTGTTTATTCTTTACATCGATATAATTTCGTTCTTCTCAACGTAAGAAATTAAAATGTAAAACGAAATGTGTACGCACGAAATTAAGTTATGTTTATATCATACAATTTTATTATAAACGATATTGTTTCGCCGCGGAAATCATGGACATAATCTCGAATCGCGAGCACAATGTCAGGGACGGCGCGACGTCGTGTGACATAATTCGATCCCGAAAACTCGCTTTCGCGCAAACAAGACGAGCACGGAAGACGACGTTCAAGAGCATGTCGAGAGAGCCAAGAGAACGAACGAAATAATATAATGGCGGAATGAGGTCGACCGGATAAGCTGGAATGCAGGTAGAGGCTGCCGTGGCGCGAACCTGGTATGCAAGTCAAAAGAGAAAGAGAGTGAGAGTGAGAAAGAGAGAGGCTGCGAGAAGTCTAACTGACTTGGAAAGAGAACTTGGAATCAGGATTTAAAACCGTCACAATTTCGATGACTTCGATCGATAATCTTGACATCATAGACACGAATATTTCATATAATTTTTTATATGAAAACACGATATAAGATTTATTTTTTTAATGAAATTATTTATTATTTAAGATCATTAACAAGTATCCGAGAACTATTATTGCCCTCAATGTTAGATATACGCAGTGTCAGACTAAGTTTCGATCAATTTCGATTGCGATCAAAGAGACTCGAGAGTGAGTACGTCTGATCCCCTTTGAATTATCAACCCTTGACGTTTCGATTTCGCGATGCGAAGCGAGGTAGCATACTGTCCATAGTGTTTGTGACGCATAATTATCGTTTGATAATTGAAGCGTTGAGAAGGGTATATGAAATATACCGACGTTATCGAAAGCTGTAAATAGTAAAGAATACAAGAAAAAGATTGGGTTTTTATTTCGATCTCGAGACATATTGATCGTCTTCGAGTTATAAACGATTAAAATTATTTTTATTCCGCTTTTACGAGTTTTCCATAAAATGCTGTCTATCTAAAGCATTTAAATATAAAATTAAGTTTAATGAAAGAGATTTGCGAATTGAAAATAGAAAGTAAATTAGTTCTCAGATAAATTTTATGTGATAGAATTCAATGTGAAATTTTATTTTAAAATAATTTTGTTTGTGAAATATCAATATCACTAATAAAATTTTATTTGATTGAATAAAAGATTTTTTTCTAACAATAAGTTCTTTATGAAAATTAGAAATATTTCAACAATTTGTATCACTAGAACAAAATTTTATTTGAAGAGACATAAGGTTTCGTATCTCTTTTACAGCATAAAAAAAATCTGTATAACTAAAAGATTTATCTCAACAAGTGCTCGATCTCGAACTGAACTTTATGATTACAGGAATACGATATCTCTTTGCTACATCGTAACATCTCTATTGCTTTTTCAGGACATGATTGATGGCCTTTGCATGTCTTTCGACGCAAACAACCACGAGATCTCGCCGGGAAAATCATGCCAAGATTCATGTCAAGAAGGGTGAGTTTTCGACTCTGCTTTCTTTAAATCTTCCTCGTAAATGATTTTTCTTTATATCTCTCATAAAGAAAAGAATATTTCTTCCTATCGCAATTGCTCACATTAGTAAGAATATTCGTCGAAATCGAGATCAAAATTCTATTCTAGATTGACGACATAAGAAAAGATGAATTTCGTTACTTTGCTTACGCGTCATTCGCAAATTTTATTTATTAATTTTATTTAATTTTATTAATTTTTATCTTCATCACGATTTTGTCCATTATTTGAAAATATAAAAACTTGTGTAATTACATATCGATATGAAGAAGTGTTTTTTCTTTCGCATTCGACAGTCGTAAAGGCGACAACGCGATAGATCAGAAGCGATAGCCTAGGGCGACTTCACAGGGGAGTTTTCCGGAACTCTACAGAGATCAGACTGAGAGGGAACTGTCGGGGGATATATTTTCCCTGACGAAGAGAGAGAGGGATTTAAAGTCCCGAAAGGCGCAAACCATTTGACGCGCCGATTTCTTCGGGGAATCCAAAATTATTAATGTCTCGATATTTTTTCGCGAAAGAAATATCTTCCCGAAATTTTTGTCCAAAAAATTTATCGTGTTAAAAAATAACACGATTAACACGAGCATCGTATAAAAATCTATTAATATAACAAAAGATATGTTCTCTCTGCGTTAAAAAATATGAGGCGGATCGATGAGAGAGCTTTTGGAAAAAGCTCTCTCATTGCGTTGTCGGCAGCAACATTGTGCAACGCGCTTAAGGCACCGCCGTACGATTGGCGGATCGATGCGTGCCTGCCTGCCTCCTGGTAGGTACGTCGACCGGTTCCTGGACAAAGCGAGAGTTGCCCCTAGCATCATCTCTCTGCCAGCACTCCGTTCCACGCCGACCCGAGCCGAGCCAGCGCGAAGGGAATTGAGTATCCTGCCGTTTTCTCCCGTCTTTCCTTCCCTCCTTCTTCATTCCCCTTGCCCTTGTCTCTCGTCCGGTATTGCTCATCCGAGGAAGAAGAGCCTGGAAGACTCTGGATATGTGCGAATTCGCTACAAGTCCCGTATCTCGTAAATAAGTCGCGAAGATTCGCGATATATTGGGTCATTTGATGTGTTTTTATAAATTTATTATAACACTTTTTAATCCGCGTACGCGCGTAATTATTAAGGCTCTAGTTAGTTTTTCCTTAGCGATGATAGAAATCATATATTAATCATACCTTTGGTGAAATTTTCTATTATCATCTTCATATTTAGAGCGCGAATTAAAATTCGATATCGGGTGGGATATCGGACGAAAGAGTATCGGGTTACTCACGTACTTCTGGAGCTTCTATATCACTTGGGGACAAACATCGGCGGTAGCCTTTCAAATTATTTGTTGACCGGACTGGGTAACAAAGAAGTAGCCAACAATAAAAATGAAGACGAGGTTGATGTTTATGATGATGATGATGATGATGGAGGAGGCTTAGACTCTGAGGTGTTCGAGCAAGGCCGATCCAGCTCGTCCGACCGGTCAACCGAGTTCGAACTCGACTCGCGTGAATGACTTTGAAAGACCGACAGAGAGAAAAAGAGACAGAGAACTCTCGGCCATATCATGCCGAAAAAATTGCGAATTTAGAGCTGTATCGATTTGAAGGAAATTACCGTGGATAGAAATTCAAATAAACTCGATTCATTCTTGATGACTTAATGGAAAATAGTTAAAAAATACTTTACTAGTATAAAATATATTAATTAAAAAAATATTATATATACAATCATTATAAAAATAATATTTATTTTAAAATTGCTTAATGTGTATAATATTTTTCTAATGCGTATTATAATTAAAATATAAGTATATATTGATGTTGTAACTTAAAGATGTACATATATGTTTATCATTAAAAAAAGTAATTAATATGTTAAATTTATTTAAAAATAGAAATTTACAAGTAATTTAGGGGATCGTTGTCTAATATATTTACATAAACACATGTCATCGTCTAAAATCTGATTGATATTTAATTTGACTTTGAAAGAATGATTGATGCAGCGAACTACAGTAAGCGATTAATTATACCCGTGACATACCGGGCACCGTTTAAAAACTGGGA